TGTTGCTGATGTTTTAGCACTGTGAACTTCAATTAATGCTAGGTGTCTTCTGTAAGGTTTCCTCAAAGTAGAGCCTGAGATGGGAATTGTGCAAGTGGCTTATTGAATGGAGGCTTTCAAGAGAAATCTCTAAGTGTGAGAGGGAAACAGGAGGGCAGAGGAAGAAACTGGACAGACATATGGTGTCTGTAGAAGTCTAGGCTCAGCCTGATCCCACAGGGAGTGGGGGGGTGGGTCTGGAAGGTGAAGTGCATTGTAGGGTTCGTCCTGCCAGGGAAATGTGTCTGAATGCTGACTGGGGAGAGGGGAGCTGTCTTCTAGGTGTGTCTGGGGAGACAGCTCCCATCTGTTGTGTTCTCCAGAGCAGGGTGCAGATGTGAATCCATACCTATAAATAGCCAAGGGATAGGTGATCTGGGCATCTGCTATACCAGAGGACAAAATTATGAACTGCGGACCTATATGTGTCATGGAATCATTTCCTTGTAGTAGCTACTGTGTATCAATCACAGAGACTTGGGCACAGAAAGTGTCTCATAGAGTTCAAAGGAGGTTTCTAAAAATTGGTCCCATGGGAAGAAGTTGGAAAGGATTTATTTCAGAGAAGAAGAAAAGGACCTAATCACTATCCTCAAGTGTCTGAAGGGTTATTAAACTGTACATATTCAGGATGTACTCAAGAGTATTTTATTTGTTTGTTTTTTAAAAATCTCTACTGGGGACACATTAGAAGGAAGTAAATTAAATTTGCAGCTGTAAGGGATTTAGATTTGGTATAGTTCTTTACAATGAGTACTAGTAGACATCAAAACATTACAAAATCTCTCCCTAAAGGTTTCTAAGAGAGAATAAACATTAATCTGCTAAAGATGACCATCCCTCTAAGAATCATGTCATGAACTTCACCTGTGAGAAAACAATGAGACTAGCAAAGTAGCAGATGAGGGGGGTATTTCCACTTAGGTCAGACAGACAGACAGACAGACACACACACACGTTTAAATGTCATTATTTTATAACTTCTGGAATTAATGTAAAACATTACAGATTTGCTTTAAAATGTGTAAATTCTCAAATGGAAATCATAAATTGCCATTCCTTCATAAAATTATAATTAAATAAAAAGTGAAGCAAAGTAGAATATAAAAATGTAATTGCATAAGTAATAACCAAGTTGTTTTTTCCCTGTACAATGTACATTAAAAATTTTTTAGAGATCTTGTTTTATAACTTTAAAACACAGCATTTTTGTAATTAGTATAATTTAAAAAACAGTTAAGTTTGGATAGGGCACAGAATTAAAATCTGTATCAGAAGAAGCACATGTACTTTTAGGCCCCAAAGTCAATGATGGAGATGGACATATGGCAGGAAAAAAATTAAGTCTATTTATGATTGACTAGTTAGGAATTTGTATATTTTTTCATTGAAGATGAAGCTTATTTAGTGGCTCCTAGTAGTTGGGGATGAGGTTGAGTATAAAAATGGAGTTACAACCTGGAGAAAAACTGATAAGTCATTTTCCATCTGGCAGCTATTCCTGATCATACAGGGAGAATGTAGCATTTCAGAAATAAAAATACCCAGAAGAAAGGAGAATTTCAGTACATACGGTATAGATACAAAGATTAGAACACAATATGTGTTCTTAATGTACTAGAAAGATTAAAATGATTAGTGCACTTAATAGCAAAAAGTTTGAACATGTCTCCAAATAGCAAAAAGTGTGGCCATGCGGGGTTAATGTGAACTCTGAGCTTTGTCTGAAACCACAAGGGTGATAACAATGTGTAATAATACCTCTATTATGTGGGTACAGTGTACTAAGAGCTTTGCTGCCTCATCTTCCTTAATTCTGGTAACAACCCAGTGAGATAGATTTATCATCGTCCCTGTTTTCCAGGTGGAGGAACTCAAACGTGGAGGGGTTAAGTGATTTTTCCCTGGGGCTCTCAGCTAGAATTTGGCTCTGTGTCCACGCTCTTACCTGATAATCAATACTGCTTACCTCCTCCCACATATACATTCAGAAAAGAATTTCGTAGGTAGAAATAACTCTTGGGACAGTTGCTTTGTCCTGGAGGGGTAATTGTCAGGGTGGTGGCTTTGCCACACACACTCTAGTGGCTGAGGACTGTCCAGACACCATCACATGCGTTCAGACCATTTCTGTTTTTAAGTCGCTTGGTTCATGGAACATGTTTGAATCAATGTCTTAAACAGTTTTTCATATCTAAAAACTGCTTTATAATAGGATTTTAATGCATTGACAACTTACTTGTATTACGCAGCAGAGTTCAATTTCTATGTTTTAGAAATTTTTAGAAACACACCTGGAATTTGGCACACTCTGACAGATCATTCATCTGATTTTGCTAAATTAAATTTGCTCAGTTCCATATAGAATTTCACTTTCTCTGTTTTTCAAAAACCAGAAATTTACTAGTTTCTAAACCTAAACTTCCCGGTTGTCTTGTTATTTTCCTCCCCATTCTCAGTGGTCCCCAATAAACCCCAAAACATTCGTAGGTGATAACATTGAACTAGCAACTTGAAGCAGTCTTGAAGAAGAAAGCAAGTGATTTTTTAAAATCAGTTTCGCACTTCCACCTGTTCTACTAATTTATCTGTAGTCTATGCCATTGTCTCTTTCTACAGAAGGAGTGTATGTTTTTGACTTTATATACATGGGAAGGTAATTCAGAGGCCAAACCTTAAATGATTTCTGTTTTCACACTATCACTAAACTGCGGAAAGATGAGTTTGGATGTTAGAGGATGTTGGAGGGGGAAAATCAAGGTTCTTTTTGGGATGCTGGATACAAAGAGTTGTTGTGTCTTTCTGTTTGATTTAGATGAAAATTCCAGGGTAGAGTATTTATCTTCTTGCTTCTGGAAAACTTAGTCACCCACACTGGCATGAAGAAGGTGCCCAAAGTGATCTCTGCTGCTTGGTTGACCGTGCTTGGCCATTATTTCCATCTCAATCTTCTGTTTCTTCTTGCTGCAGCTCAAAGAGTACGAGGCGCAGAACCGGCAGTCAGCTACCTTGGACCCTGCTGACTGGCCAGACGGTTCCTACCCGACGTTTGATGGCTCCTCGAACTGCAATGTAAGTTTGCCATTTCTTGAGGATCTGCACCACCTCTACTACTAAGGGACAGCCCACACAATTTCTTTTGAATTTGTTTTCACAACTCCCACCTGGCTCTGCAAAGCGGTATCTCTTCTTACAGGTTACTCAGTTTTCTCTACCTGATAGAGACTCAGCTACAGTCAGAATAGTGCTATTCATGCTGGGGTTTTTGTTTTAATTGTAGTAGAGTGTACGAGAATATGTCAGAAAGTTCATGAAAGGATTTGTAATATTTTTTAATTCTATTTTTCTCCAAGCTTTTGAAGTGTCCTTGTATGTAATATAAAATTTACATACTAGCCATTTTTATGCGTTCAGTTTAATATCATTAAATACATTCACATTGCTGTGCAACCAGCACCATAATCCACTTCCGGAAGTTTCTCATCATCCCCCTGAAAATTTTATACCTATTAAACAACAGCTCCCTATTCTTTCCTCTCTCCAACCCCTGGCAACCACCATTCTACTTTCTGTCTCTATGAATTTGCCTACCCTAAGTACCCCATATATGTGGAATCATACAATATTTGTCCTTCTGTGACTGGTTTATTTCACCCACATAATGTTTTCAAAGTTTACCCACATTGCAGCATGTATCAGAACTCAATTCCTTTTTAAGGATAGTAATATTCCATTTTATCTGTATACCACATTTTGTTTATCCATTCATCTGTTGGTGGACACTTGGGTTGTTTCTACGTTTTGGCTATTGTGAGCAATGCTGCTCTGAACATTAGTGTACAAGTATCTCTGAGTCCCTGCTTTCAGTTCTTTTGGGGACGCATCTAGGGTTAGAATGTCTAGATCATATGATAATTCTTTGTTTAACCTTCTGAGGAACCGCTGTGCTGTTTTCCATAGTAGCTGCAAAAAAGTTCCAAATTCTCTACTTCCTCACCAACACTTGCTATTTTCCCTTTTTTTGATAATAGACATCCTAATGGGTATGAAATGGTATCTCATTGTGGGTTTGCATTTCCCTACTGATAATGACGTTAAGCATCTTTTTAAATGCTTATTTGCCATTCATGTGTCTTCTTTGGATAAATGTCAGGTCCTTTGCCCATTCTTGAATTGTGTTTTGTTTTGTTATTGTAGGGTTGTAGGAGATCTTTATATATTCTAGATATTAATCCCTTATCAGATAAACAATGTATAAATATTTTCTCCCGTTCTGTGGGTTGCCTTTTCATTCTTTTGATAGTGTTGTCAATGCACAAAAGTTTTTAATTTTGAAATTAAGTTAATCTGTTTTGTTTTTGTTGTTGCCTGTGCTTGGGATGTCATATCCAAGAAATCATTGCCAAATCCAGTATCATGAAGATGTTGCCGTATGTTTTCTTCTAAGGGTTTTGTAGTTTTAGGTCTTAAGTTTAGGTCTTTGACCCACTTTGAGTTAATGTTTGTATATGATGTAATATATGGGTCCAACTATATTTTTGCATGTGGATATTCATTTTTCCTGGAACCATTTGTTGAAAACACTGTTCTTTCCTCAATGAATAGTTGGCACCATTTTTGAAAATTAGCCAACTGTGTATATGAGGGTTTATTTCTGGGTTCTCTATTTCATTCCATTGGTCTATATGTCTGTCCTTTGCTAGTACCATACTGTTTTGATTACTGGAACTTTGTAGTAAGTTTTGAAGTTGGGAAGAATGAGGCCTCCGATTTTGTTTTTTTTTTTTCAAGATTGTTTTGCTATTTGAGGTCCCTTGAGATTCTATATGAATTTTAGCATGGTTTTGTCTATTTCTGCCAAAAAAAAGAATGCCATTGGGATTTTGATAGGGATTGCATTGAATTTGTATATTGATTTGGACAGTATTGTCATTTTAACAATATGAAGTCTTCCAATCCATGAATGTGGAATATCTTTTCATTTATTTATGTCTTCTTTAATTTCTTTTAGTAATGTTTTGCAGGTTTCAGCATATGTCTTGCTCCTTGATCAAGCTTATTCCTAAGAATTTTATTATTGATGCTATTGTAAGTGGAATTGTTTTAATTTCTTTTTCAGAATGTTCATTGTTAGTGTATAAAAATCTAATTAATTTTCATGTGTTGATTTGGCATCCTGTGACTTTGCTGAATTTGTTTATTAGCTCTAACAGTTGTGTGTGTGTAATCTTAGGGTTTTCTATATATAAAATCATGTCAGCTGCAAAAGAAAAGATATTTTACTTCTTCCTTTACAATTTGGATACCTTTTATTATTCATTCTACTTTAATATGAACAAAACAGTGCTTCTTAAATTAGGAGTTCCATTGGGACTGTAGGAATTAAAACTCCAGAATTTCAAAGAGACATTTCATGATGCCATTATCAAACTGTAGAGCAGGAATGGAGGAAGTTATTCTTTTTCATGTATTATGTAGTTGTTTTGTTTTGTTTGTAAGGTTATTTCTTCCTTAAAATTTGTAAGCAACTCTACCTTCCTGTCTCCAGCCTCTTGTCCATGCTCTATACATCCAGTCATCTTTATAAAACATACCTTTTTTCTTGAAATCATATGTTTTAGAAAGGCTGATCATCTCCCATTTCTGTAAGATAAATCCCAAACTTCTTGGCATACACAAGGTCCTATGTGATCTGGTTTTAATCAGTTTCTCCAATCTCATCTTTCATCCCCATATCAATACCCTCTACTCCAGCCACATAGAACCCTGCATGCATTACTGAACAAACCTTGTACTTTTTATACTTCTGTGCTTTAACTCTTGCAGTTTCTTCTATCTAAACTATCTCCTTCCAAATTTTTCCTGGTGAAAATCTATGCATCTTTCCAGGTGAAGCCCAACCATCACTTTCTTTGTAAAACTTTCCTTAACTTCCTCAAGCTTATTTATTGCTGCTTGTTCTGTGATTTTGTTAAGCTAGCTTTATACATCAAGCCTAAACAGTTGTCCTAGAATATTGGAATTAATTGTGCATATTCCATCCTCCCTGGAAATGGTGAGCTCCTTGAGCAAGGAAGTCATGCTCTGTTCCTTTCCTCTCCAGTGAGTGCCTGGTCCAATGTCCAACTCATACAGAAATGTTTAAAGAACAAAATTATATTCAAATGTTCATCTTTCCTGGCTGCTTTAAGAGTGTGTTTTATGTCTTGCTACTACAGATTCAGTCTTTACCTTTCTTTGCATCTAAGCAACAAATGGTGGCTTATTGGAAGTAAATACAGTCCTCCCACTACCTTCTTGTCCCTGATTTCCTGAAACAAGAACCAGATTTCCGTTGTAGCTAAAAAAACAAAGGATTATAAATTTGAAAGCCCTGCCTGGTTTACTTTTGTGTGAAAGAGACTGAGATGTTACCATTTGTAATAATAAATGTGTCATAGGCTAGCCAGCAGTGTGTCCTGGGACTATGAGGTAATCAGAAGAATCGTGTCCATGGTTTTCAGTGTGCCTTTTTGGGTCTCTTATTCCCAGGTCCTAAAGACTAACATAATATAAATGTAAATCATGAGCCTAAAGGATCGTGAAGAATAATTACAGTAACTCAAGACTGATGTGATTCAAACCCAGCTCAGGGGAGAAACCAAAGCCCTTGTTGTCCATATTGAGTCCTTTAGTATCAGACCCACTGTGTACTGTCCGGATTAATATGTCTCAGTCAAGGGAGAAATTAGAGGACTTCGTCTTTTCAGAGAAACAGAACTGCAGTAAAACCTCAGGCACTTAGACTTCAAGGAGAGAGGCTTGTCTCATTTAGGAAAAAGTCCATGTAAGTTGAGTACTGTTGGGCATTTTGAACAAGCTGCTAAGAAACCATTATTAAGTATTGCCTTGTTGGACCCCTTTCAAAGGGCCAGTTGGAAGTATTACCTGGATATACATCATCAGAATGAAATGGGTTCTTTCTTAAGGTTGGGCATTTTATTTTCTTGAGCATTTCTGTCTTTGTTCATCTGGGAGACATTTATGTAGCAGGCACAGTGCCAGGTGTTTGGGGTACAAAAGTGAAGGAGAAAGACAGGAAAGTCAAGGAGAAAATGCAGAGGTTAAAGTCACACCCACACGTGCACACAGATTCAAGATTCCACATACACATTTACGTTATTAACTTCTTACCAAGCTGTGTCTTCACAGATGGCTCAAAAATAAATTCAGCTTGTTCCAGTCAGACCAAGGGCCGGAAATAAAATAGCCTTCCTCCTCTAGGGCACAATCTTCCAGAAGCTCTAAAGAGTGACTTCACTTTTTGCTGAGAGGTGTAGGTTATTCAGCAAACGGGGAGAGTTTTCTGAAGCAGAAATAGTTACCCCGTGTATTTTGCCAGTTGACTTTCTGCAGTCACCCGTGTCTACTTCTAGTCGTGCTGTTCAGAACTACCACCGGTCACCATTGTGACTAGAGTTTGCTTGAACCTGCTTGTAATCCTACTGTATATGACTCTTGACCCTCTTACCCTGAGTTTAGCCTGTTTTATGTTGTTATGGAGACTAGGCCAGAAACTCCATCCAAGATATTTCTTCTCATTATTTCAGATCTGCCTCCATAGCAGAGCAATTAATTTTAGATAATTCCCGATGTGTCCTACTTCAGCCACCATGGGATAGGCACTTTGATTATCTTTTGTGTGAGGGTCAGGGCTTTTCAGTTTCTTTCCATTCCTTTCTACACTGAGATGTAAATAGCCCACTGGCTCTAGTCAGGAATGCCCAGGCCATGAAAGTTTCAGGGATCATAAGGCCTTTGTCACCAGACCTCAATGCTTATATTGATGCCTGTCATGCCTTAGGATTTCATTTGCATTGATTTCATAGGCTTCCCCACCCCCATAACTGACATTAGATAATTGTGTGTTGCCTCACAATAAATCCATGTGCACATTCCTAGTTTCCAAGAGAGTAAAGTGCTAAAGATAGTTACCAGGGGAAGTGAAAAATAGTCTTCTCTTTGCCAGAGAAGAATCTGTTCTGTGCTGTTTTTCATTAATAATAAACTTAGGTTGGGAGTGTTAAAATTTTTCAAAAGAATTTTTGGTGGAGAACTTAACTTGATTTTTTGTTAAATATCTGAACATTTATTTTAATATATTTTATTTAATTTATTTTGGTAAATTTAGTTTTTCTTTTGCCTCTTGCCAGGCGAAAGGTGGTACGAGTTCTCATTTTATGCTGTCAACTTTATGCCTTGAGGTTCAGTCTACCTTCTGGTTAAGAAAATCTTTAAAGAAGTGTTATTCTCTGCCTCACTGAGTTTTGTAGTT